ATTTTATCGGAAGTCTAGCTATTAGGACTAACTTTAAAGCGCTAATCCTCCGGGAGGCCGTCGAACTATAATTTAATAAAGACTTTGCCTTTAAAAATTATATATAAAGGAAGGGCCTAGCTAGAAGCATTCGTATACTCAATAATAGTTACCTACTCTCGATTTCTAGGTTATAAAACCAGCCTCCGACCGTAGTATTCACTCCTCGTAATAACCTTCGTAGTTATAGTTAATCCTATTGCGAAACCGGTCTCGTCGAAGTTATAGATATCGTCGGGGTCGATCCCAAATTGAAGGATAGTTTTTTAAATAAGATCAAACTACCCCTTAATAATTTTAGGGTCTTTATATTTCGTACGCTCGTAGTTATATCGTTTCGAGAATCGGGAGGAAAGGAGAGGATACCGTTTTATATAGTTATATACCTATTTTTCGCCGACCGAAAGGACCGGGGTAGTTCTACGCTTTTGAAGAAGAAGATCTACTATTTCTCGTACTATAGAGGGCCGGGGGGCTGCTCTACGTAGATCTATAGAGAGAATCTATTTTTAAAGAGACTCCTCTTCAATCTCTGTCAATTTATGTGAATTGGCGCGTGTAGTGCTTCGTTCGGTATAGCCGTTAAGGCGGTCGCGTAAAGTTGAACGTGGGACATTGAATGTACGCGCAGCAAGAGAAATAGAGCTAATATCTCTATTTTTAAAGGCCTGGATAGCTAATAAAAGCCTACCCTCTTGCTCTGTTGGATTTTTAGAGGATTGAGAGCGAATTGGTGGCATGGTGGGTGGTTGAACTAATAGAGATCTAATTCCTGGACGCGTTTTGGGTAGGGTGGCGGCTCGCTTACCGGTTACGTTACCTTACCACTTTCAGGCATTAACCCACTTCACCCTTACCACTCTCTTACTAGTATTTTACTACTATCATTTTACAACTATATAGTTAACTAGTTAACCAGTACAATCCTTTTGTCTTTATCACGGATTGAGTCATCCTGTGCATGGGCTCCGAAAATGTATCCGGATTTTTCTAGTTGTTTGTGACGCCTTTCCTTTGCAAGTTCGGCCTGTCGAGCAAAATATTGCTTTCGGCCCATAGCCTAGCAAACTTATGTAGTGGCTCTGGACTAAGGTCGAAGGGAAAAAAGAATAAATGATAAGAGACGAAGATAAAGGAGAATTGTATGGTTGAAGATGTCTACAGATGGATTGTAGTCTCTATATACTTGAGCTTTTGCGCACGGGCGAATTTGAATAACTCATAGAAGGCGACTTCTCCCTAGTACTATTACAATTTGGAGGGGATATTATCCCTCAGGTTGCTGCGTCATTTTACTTTAGTGTGGATCTTGAGGTGCTGGGAAAATTGAGGATGGAAAATCGCGAAAAGAAAGGCCAAGAAATGAGGGCTATCAAAATTATTTTACAGAATAAACGGCGCTGTAGGGCCGAATGCCCCTTTGGGTAAGGACTGAACATGAACTGAGTGCTCAATAGACGCCCTCTGGCTATCTGAGTAATCAGATAGCCTAGTCTGAGTACAGTCTGAGTGCCCTCTGATTACTCAGATGGCGTTACTAATATATCACGTGATGGCTCAGAGCAAGCTCACTAAGCCTGAGCCCAGACTGAAATTTACTCAGAGAGCCTGACTCTGACCGCCATCATTAAAGCGGCGGCCCCCAAAATAGGCAAGCCCCACCTGGCAGAGGAAATACCCTACGTAGAAGAACATATGTAGGTATGTAATTGATTAATCTTAATTAATCTAAACTAATCATAGAATAAGAAAATGATATGAAAAGTCTCTCTTAAAATGGGAATACCCCAACATATGCTCTTATAATTATTTTTTGACTATTCCGAGACTACTTCCAACAGTGTTGAATAAACATGTTGCCGTGATTAATACCACAACGACCAAATATATCACTGCTACCTTGACTTCTCTGGGGGACGTCCTTCTCGCACCAAGAGAGCTTGTCGCGTGCCGCCACCCCTGCCATGATGCTACGCCCGGATTGTTCGCGGCGACACATTGCATCGAAAGCACATGGCTCTATAGCCAATCTTGGAAACGTACCGATCATACTAGACGAGGTCGACATTGATTTGTACCCTGTATCAGGCTCTCATACCTCAGGTTAGTATGCACATGCTCTAAACTTGTGAACTGAGATCAATCCACTTACCATGACACACAGGCCCATGCTTTGCTCAAGAGAGTGTGATTGTCACGTGGGATGGAGAAGATGACCCCAAAGATCCCTACAATTGGCCCCTCTGGAAGAAATGGCAGGCTACAGGTATTGGTTTGCTGGCGAGCTTTGTCTGTTCGATGAATGGGACCATCCTAACGGTGGCTCATGCGGCCATTGGAGAAGAGTTTCACATCTCCGATGCAACGTTCCCCAATTCTTACTGGTTAACCACATCCTGGGCCATCGGGGCGGCGCTGTGTCCGCTTCTTCTGTTTCCTGTGATGGAGGACTTTGGCGTTCGACCTGTTCTTCTCACCACCTATTTTTGCTTTATTTGTTTTCTGATTCCCGTAGGGGTTGCACCAAACTTTGCCACCCTGATTGTGGCCCGATTTTTTAGCGGAGGATGTGTTCCGCTGATAAGTGACGCCGTTGCCGGTATTACATCGAATGTCTTTCACGGCGATCGAGCCCGGAGTGTCCCAATTTGTCTGTACGTGACCATCTATCTGGCGGCGACAAGTCTGGGCCCGGTCGTTGGCTCTTCCATCCTGCAATTCCTGTCATGGCGCTGGATTGGTTACATTGAATTGATCTGGACCGCTGTCCTATTTCCGATCCTGATCTTCGGTCTGCCAGAGAGCCGCGGACCGGCGATCCTGCGTGCCAGAGCCAAACGACTACGCTGCGAGGGAAAGAGTGCGTACACGGCTGAGAAGATCGATGGGCTAGCATTGCCTCAGCTTATCCTGCAGAGCGTTCAACGGCCTCTATACATGCTATGTACGGAAGGGGTCGTGTTCGTTGCAACGGTGTGGGCTGCCTTTAGCCTGGGAACGATCTATCTTTTTACGCAGTCGGTCGAGCAGATATACAGGGAGCTCTATGGGTGGGATCCCATCCAGTGCGGGTATGTCCAAGTTGCGATTGTGGTGGGGGAACTCCTGGGCGGTGGATTTTGCATCTTAACTAATCCCTGGTACTATGCATCTGCTACCCGCAATACCGAGGCACCGGGCACGCCGATCCCGGAGGCTCGGCTACATGCATCGATCATTGGTGGATTCTTTGGTGTTGCAGGCGGCATGTTCGTGTACGGGTGGACATCGTACAATTCTATACACTGGATGGGACCCACCGTTGGCCTGGCGATGGTGGGGTTTGGGACGACAGCAGTTATCGTTGGCAATGCTAACTATCTCATCGACGCGTACAGCAAGTATGCTGCGAGCGCCCTCGGGGCGGTGGGTTTTGTCGAGAACATCTCCATCGCTTTTCTCCCTCTAGCTGCAGAAGCCATGTACACGAATCTCGGATTTCAATGGGCCAGCTCGCTGCTTGCATTTGTGTCTTTGGTCCTGGTAGCAACTCCTTTTGTGGTCCTCCAATGGGGCAAAGAGATCAGATCTTACAGTCCATTCATGCAAGAGGCCACTGTAGAGCGGCGGCGAGACGGTGCTGCAGCCGCAGGTGTATAAGAGCGGGGTCGCACTCGGGCCATCGTATCCCATATTCCCTTTTCGGTTATTGGCATGAATCATTCTTCTTGAAACATATAAGCATGAGATTTTAGTTTAGTGCTAGTAAAACATGACTAGCAGTCGGCTGTGGAGGAAGTGGAGAGATGGCGACTCTTAAAATTATATTACATTTAGAAGTAAGGTTCATCACACAAGTCACTTCTGAATGTCTAGTCAAAATATCACCTGCGAATGGCATGCTTCTCAATGGGGTTTTATTTGGCTTTATACGCCCGGTTGACTTTGCAAGGTCGACCAGAATAACAGTACGCGGATTTGTACTGCTATACTTACGCCCAAACTCAATCCTAGTAAGAAGTATCAATTCGCTAACTGGTCGACACCATATGCACTTGCACGATTTTAGACTGTTACTTGATTAGACATGGTATGTGAGTATGCCTTATCTCACTAGAGAAACTTTCTAAACGCATTCATGCAGTGGACGATGTCGTTCTCTAACATGTTTACACATCTTGTAGACTAATATATACTTAGGAAGAATGGTATCCATGGATCATCCTGCCTAACCATTTTAGGAACCTATTCCCAATCAGGCAATGGCTCTTTTTGGATTAGCGTGCATGCAAGTACCCTGACTCTGACTCCACGCATAGTCTCACATCAATCAACCTTAGAAGCTCAATTTTCTGAGTACGTCACTTCGAAAATGTATTGTTCCTAGAGAATTGGGTTAGGTAAGATGTTTGCCTTCTCAAAGCCGAATTGTATTTATTTATCTCAGAAAACTGAACCTTGTGCAATTCAGTGTTGTTATGTTCATCGCTACTGCCTATATGGTCGTGGCTTGGTACCTCTGGCAACGGCACGTATTCACGGGCCCAAGGTTGGGCACGCAGTTCATGCAGAAATACCGTTCGCGAGTTGCGAGTCTTACAAATAAATATTCTCCTTGTAGCCTGGTTGATCAACATAGCAATGAGACAGTCGACAAAGATGGGAAAGTGGATTGATCGTCTACATCGGGCTGCTGTTGGTACAAGCTGACCATGAATGCTAGATGGAACTGAGACATTTAGTCAAGTTCCCTATCGCTTCAGCTCATTTGCCGGCGATGGTTGATGAGAAAGTTATCGGAATACTGAGATATCTCCATGAGGGGCTCCAGTTCCCTTTCGAGCCTCTTCCATGAATCAGTCCCTTGCAAGAAGCTGGCAGATAAACAATCTAACTATTCTATCAAGACCTTAGAATAGATGCACATTGGCTACATATACTAGAGTGACCGCTGCACAACATTTATTCATTTTTCGTTTAGATCATCCAAAGCAAAGCCGCATTTGCAACGGATAACAAGACGAAGTGTGTTTTCGATCCACGATGTGACCCCACCACACGTTCTCAAAGCCCTTCGCCTCCTGCTCTGCCCATACTTCTTCAAGCAACGGGATGGTGCTCCCAAACATCTGATACCGCGTCCGGTCATTCCACACCGAGCAAAACTGCACGATCTTCTGCCGTACCGATCGATCGCGCTGTTCGCAGCCCGCAAAGAAGAGCGGCAGCAACGCCTGCCGGGAGACCATGCTCTCGTCGCGACACGAAACCACATGGTCCACAATGACCCGGGCCCAACGGACAACGTGCATTGGAATCGGGCTTCCCGGCTTCCATCGGAACACGCGGTAGATATAGAGCAGCAGGCCGTGTCTCCAGGCCTCCGAGCAGTGCATACAGTCTTGGTCTTGTTGGATGTCCTCTTCGCTACCAAAGGCAAGTGTAGCAGGTGAAATGTGATGCCAGGACTCGAGCTCTTGCTCGATTTGGGCGATCGCTGTGGCGTCAAAGGCCACGTACCGCATGGATGAAGATTGGCGTTTTTCGGCACTCAGACGCACCACTTGCATGACCAGCGTGACCACACTGTGTGGGCACCCACAGAGGTCAAAGAAATTCCACTTCCGATCTTCGGGGTTCGATAGGGTGGCTTCAACGTATGCGTATGGGAACACGCGGTCTTCCCGAGACAAGAGACTGGTGATGGCATCCCACCTAGATAGTTTAGCTGGAAGGGCCGGGCCAATTTTGCGCAGCATGGGGTGGGGTTATATACCACAACAGCAATCCTATTTGAGCGTCTGCCCGAGCAGATGTAGTCCATGCTTCAATTCCCCCGTACGCTTCGATAAGGCCATAGGCTCCCTTGAGATGTGTGCTCCAGTATCCAAGGGTGGATTGAGCTTCCTAACTTTCATTATCAACGGATTAGGTCCGAGCAACAAACATAAAGGTGCAAACTAACGTCGAAGGAAAATAATATCATAATCGCATCAAGCATAGAGGAGCCATCTTCTATATTACCGGATGCATTAAGGCTCTCGCGGAAGAGTTTCAATGCTGTATAGCGATGGTCATCGGTTGATGCACTCTTAACATGATGACCTGCTAAAGCCATCACCGCATGGACCAGAAACATTGGCTCCGGTACGATGGTTCTGCGGTATCGAAACGGATTCATCTGTAGGTCAGACGTTAATGGGATCATGCAGAATTCCATATTGTCTATGACTTGTTAGTGGGCATTGATAGGAGCGACTGGGAGCAGAATAGGCGAACATCTCTCAAGGATAGGCCCAAAACGCCGATAAACACTGTTATATAGTACGCTCGGTGGTATAGATGTAGTAGTGTTAGGGAGGTCTGAAGCTGCCACGGGACTTGGCTCTATAGTAGTGACTTGACTCGACCATTCATAGAAGGCGTCTCCCTCGGTTAATTGTAGCTGTCCGTGATTTGTTGATGTAGATGAACACGAGGATTGGCCTTGGTCTTCGCTGTTATAGCGGCGCAGTTGTAATTCAGCTATCCTGGAATCGGTCTCAGAATCAGGAGAATCAGCAGCCCTGATCGGCGATGCATCACCCAAGACCCCAGATGGCGTCTCTACGGAGGGGCTGGCTTCCTCAGAAACGTTGACTTGAGAAGGAGTTTCATATTAGCCCACAACCGTAGATTGTTTCTATCAGTCTTTAGAAGACAGACAAAGGACGGGTCAATACCATCTGGTTCTGAGTCTTTTGTCTCTTAATTAGCAATAGGTTTAACAGGCGCTCGGGAGGGTGGATAAATGATGGCTGGTGGAAAGTGTATGGTCTTACAATCTCCCACAGGGTGCTCTGCAATGAACACAAATTGCTGAGGTCCATCTGGGTTTCCTAACCGACCCCTATTGGTCCTACTGGCAGCTGACCTTCTTACCGGCCTATTGGAGAGAGAATACCCTGGCTTCCAGGATAGTTGCATTTTAAGCGTTTCGTAGACACCGAGTATGGTATTACCTGATTGGTCGCAATGTTCACATCGGGCATTGATGGATAGACATTGGTGGATACTTTGTGAAAAGGGGGCATTCTATGAGGTTATGGCAGGGATCAGGTGAAGTCGCCTGTCGTGAGCGGTCAGTACCTGGGCCTGGAGATAGGCACCGGCCCCAGGGGCATGTTCAAGCTTAGTAAGAGTATGTAGCATTTCAACACAATTTCTCCAAATTACCTATTAGACAATATCAAAAAGGCCAATTCAATGGCGTATAAACAAAAGAAAGAAAAACAATCACATGGATATCTCAATGGTTAGGCTCTTTGCCCTCCTTGCACTTGGAGATGTTCTTGCGGACATAAGTCTCCCGCACCAAATCACCTTCATTCTTGAAGACCACCCACTCACCCATACCATACTCCTCTGGTGCAACACGTATACCACGACCACCACCACCAACAATCACATTACCAGGACGGTATTTGGGATCCGCCTGCATACGCCGGATAGCAGAAACGTGGATCTCAGCATTAAGCGGAACATCCCGCACCTCACCACGAGGCAACGGCCAACTAATCGGCTTCCACGACCCATCAGGCTGCAGATCCATACGACGGAAGGGAAGCCATTCCATAATGCGCCACGTGATAACCGACATGGTAGGAATACCCTGGTTGAACATCAGACAGTCATGCAGCAACCCCTTCGTACTGGAAGTATGCAGCGCGTGCCAGAAGTCGCGACTGGCAGCAGTGCGCTCTTTCTCATCAGGCATGGAGCGGAATGCATCGCCGTTTTCAGCATGGGGCTCAACGCATCGACTCGGCCGTCGTTCATTAATCTCTTGCCGGATGGGGCTGTAATCACCGTTGTACTCCTCCAGACACTGGAACTGCTTCATCTTGCGCTCATCGAGCTCAAGTCCAGCCTTTTGCGCTTCCTGCGTCATCCACACGAGCGGCGCATGGCTGAGCGCCCATGATTCGCCATCCGAGAGCCTCCATCCGCCGCCAATGTCTGCGTGGCAGCCTGGGAACCAGACCTCGTGGATGTCTTGGTCGTCTTCGTCATCGCTTGAATCGACTTCTATGACGGGGATTTGCACTGAGAGGGTGTTGGAGTGCATGCTGTGGCAAGACTCTTTGCTTCGCACTGAGCGGAGGTCGTCCATTGACGCTTTGGGCACTGCGAGGCGGCGTCGGGGAGAGGGTGCGCGGTATTTGTTGTGTTTCATTGACCCGCTTTCGCTACCGGCGCGGGAGGAGGGCTGCGAGGGTGTGTGTAGAATTTGGTGGTGCGAGGCACGGCGACCGGTGTGGTAATATGTCTCTCCAGTGCTGGGCCCATATCTGGGAGTATTGAATTTAGGCTCGGCTTTATCTCCATCCTGCTGTTCCTCCTCGGGGCTGTCATTAATCTGAATGGCAGGAACGTTGTCTGGGGCTTCCTCCTGGGGCTTTTCTTTGTGATCCTGGTGGAAGAGGTGCAGGTGATTCGTGGGTAAATGGTGGTGGCGACGGCGGTGTTTCTTCTCCTTTGGACGCGCCCCAGAGATCAGATCTTGGCGGAACTTCGCGCGACGTTCGTCAATACCCACGGCATGGCGAATCACCTTGGCTGAACTGCGTGCCGTGTAGGGGAACTTGGTGCGCTGCATCCAAGCGGACTCGAAGCGCGGCACACTGTTGACTGTGTCGAAGAGACCCATGAAACGGATACGCGAGATAGGGCGACTGAACGTTTCACGGAAGGCCTTCATGTAGGCGAAGAGTTTCTTCTTTTCTTCGCGCTCTTCATCCGAGTCGTCGGACCGCTGTTGCCACTTGGCGAATGTCTTCCAAGCAAAGCGGACCAGCTCCTCGTTTCCTGCTTCGAGGAGGCCGATATAGTCCAACATCTCTGCCAGAAATCGCGCGATGTATGAACCACGACTAAACCCGATGAAGAAGATCTCATCGCCAGGGGAATAGTATCGCATCAGGAACTTGTATCCACCCATGACATGCTCGTCAAAGGAAGACCCGACCGCCGAGTCCTTGGCCTTTTGATAGGCGGACTTGATACGTTGGATTCGGCCATGGCTAGTCAGCGACTTTGAGGTCACATATGTGCCAATGCCTGGCTGGTAGTAATGATACTGGTGACTCTTGCTGCGGTCAAGCATCTGCAACTTCTTAGCACGGGCTCAAACCTTGGTTTGCAGTCCCACTTACGCGAAAGATCTTGAGCACATTGCTATCCGACTCATCACCAGCGAATTTGTTTCCGGTACCATCAAAGCACAGCACAAACTGCTTCGGCATGCCCGACAGGCCTTGGTGTTCATAAGCCATGATGTCACCGAATGATAATACAGTCGGTCAGACAAAAAAAAAGGTCGAAACTTCAAGCACACCTGATAAGATCTGAAGGGGGCTATATACGAGAAGGGGGGGGGGGGGGGGGAGGCTCAAGGTTGGGATGACGCTTTAATGCAGCTCTGTACAGCTGGTATTACACGAATCAGCGCCCTACATCGGACCCAGCACCCAGCAGAGAAGGGGGGAGGTTGGCAGGGGATAACAATGTTCAACCCACTAGCTGATCGCTGCTGATTTGTGAGAAGGATACGTCAAACCGGGGCGGGTTGACGGGCGGGTCCCCCAGACTTGGCACATTCCCATCACAACATGGGCCTTATGTTTTACTTTTGGGATGTTTTTTTTTTTTGTTTTTTTTTGGTTAATGATCGGTGACATTTGTGCAGGTAAAGGTTGCACGAAAACCTACTTAGATCTAACGGAGGTGCATCCCATCCAATAGATACGCGTCGGTAATCATTGCTGAATATGCGAGATTGTTGCGAACCAGGCTGAACCTGACTCGAGCACTTTCTGCACGAGGGATGCGGGCTGTACGGGTCGGACCTGGATAGCGTGTGGATTTGTAATTTCTGTGAGGGCTGAACATAGACCAAAAGAGAGACGTGCAGATTTCATTATATTGCTACTCCATCCACAAGTACTCATTGGCCCTACGAGTTTTTGAAAGGAGACAATACTTGGTAGTGTTCGGGATATTATTGTCGATCTTTCCCCACATAGCCTCTGAGAGCTTGGAGTGACTAATGATTCAGGAGGTGCAAGGGGGTGAGAGGCGTTCCTAGTTCCTAGTTGTTCCACTGCATCGGTTCGGTCTTGAGCGATCGGGTTAAACTTTGGCGCTAGCCTGCTCTAGGTATCGATCGTTGATACGCATTGGTCATTCTTGGTCCTTCACGGCCCAGGGCCACAATCCACTGGTAAACCTATCTTTACCGTCACTTTCTTTAGTCAGACTTAAGAAAGTTTTCAAGTCACTGTGACTATAGAACACAATCACATATTATACAAGGAAAAATTCATCACATCTGGGATGGTAGTATAAAAATTCACGAGTCATCCCGCGTGGAATCGTGGAATGGTCCAAGCTGAAAAGGACAATACCCAAAGGAGAATAGTGAAACTTCTGGCCTTTTCTTCATATCCCGAAAAAATAAAGAAGGAAGCCAATTGTATTTACGGCTGAACAAGGGATCTTTGTGAATTGACAGCTGATCTATAGACAGGCGATATTATGCATAGATTATCCATCCATGGACAGAGCATGCGGGAGCGGCCCTCCCCAAGACAATGACCCGTGGTTCCATAACCGAACTATGCGGTTAAACTATCAAATAATCAGACCCGAGCAACACCCACTCTTGGGGGAAAAAAAAGGAATTAATAAAAGTTCCCATTTTTAGTATAGAAAATCGCGTTCTAAGAAAAAAGCCACGAGTATAGTGGAAGTAGCCGACAAAAAAATAAGACCCCGGAAGTGGATACCTCTGAGAGAGATGGATCAGATTCTGAATAATTCGGGACAATGACTGGCAGATTCTACTACCAATGACAGACGACACAATGTGGTTCGTGCAAACAGACGGCCCGTTCGCCACTTAAATCTCATAGTCAGTGAGTGAACAGGTGGGTCTATGACGATCAAAACCCAAAGGAAAATATTTTGTATGGACAGCTCTGGTTCTCTATATTAGGGACCTTCCTTGCATCAATCCATCAGAGTAGTATGGATGAGACAACCCTAATTGCTGCCAATGATAAAATACGATACTCCAGCCAGCCACAAAAGTACCATTGAAATTTTCTATTTCTCTTTCTTTCTTTTTTTTTTTTAAAAAAAAATACAGAATGTCAGTCTTCCCCCCCCCACTTGGTGTCG